ATATATTATATATATATACTATATATAAAGAAAGTGACATCACCTCCTGCTAATAAAAGAAAACTGACTGACTTTGTGATTGGTGCTTATGTGATTGCCATGGTTTACTAGTCAGTCACTCTCTTTACTCACCTTAGACACACAGAGGTGGTGGCTGCCCATTTTGCCTCATATATGGTCTTGTCTATTGGGGCAGGATGGGGGGAGGACATCAATCAGCATAGCTACTACAAAATAGGTTATTAATTTGTAGATGTTTTAAGTAATCTCCTGGATGGACAAGCTACCCTGGTATTTCAAACAAGGTCCAGGACTGTCATTTTGGAATAAATGAAATGGGAAAAATCCAGTCTTTTGGGTGCTAGATGCCAAGTCTCTCACTTCTTTTTCCTCCTAGCCAAAAGGCTGCTGAGGCAGCTTCTAGTGCTTGGCTGTAACCTGGTGCGTCAGTAACAGGCTACTGGCTCTGCAAACTCAACAGCCTGATAAACTGAGACAAAGGCAAGGAATTGAAAAAATACTCTCCCTAGGTGGATCCAGCCCATGATCCACTAGCTGGACTATCCTGCAATCTAAAACTTATTCCAGAATACATTAATTGGCAATAACCTATGCCAGTTATTTTCCTGTGTGTAAACAAGGCCCATCCTTAACATGTGAACCAGGAAAATCTCTAGCACCACGGAATTTGTTTGAATTTTAACCTATATAAGGTTATAAATGTATTCTTAAAACTACCTTAACAGTAAAATACTTGGACTAACATTTTAAAAAAATATCTTGGAAAAAGATTAAGAAATTGGGAATAAAATTAGAAAAATGGGGAAGAACAACATAAAATATTCAAATTTGAGTCTCTGATATGCAACTAGCTACAGGCAAGTGGCGAAACTGTACCAAGGACACAAAACACGCTGAAGTATTCACATTAACAAATCGTTTTGAAGGCTCATCTAGTAACAGATTAGAGGGATGCTGAGTCATTTCGGTTTAGGCATAATCAATTTAGTTGACGTTTTAAATCTATCATGTGCACATCACCACATTATGCAAAAACCCAGCCCTTTCAAAACGCGTGGTAGAAAAATTCACAGTAACAGAAATATCCTTCATAAGCAGTTGAGAAGGGGCAGTGTGGAGCATCTAAGTCATACAATACAAAAACCATTGTAAATAACAGAGCTGTAAAACAGACGCAAAGTTCTAAAAACAGTGCTTTCTTTACAGTTCTTTTAATGGGTGAACACTTTGGCCAGAGAATTTTAAACTCTGAGGATCACACAAGCCTTTGCTTAAGATGCACAATTAGATCCTCTGATGTTTCAAAGGCCAGTTGCTACAAGATTTACCTGTTCTACTCTCTAAAAGTGTTCCCATCAAGTAGTCATTATGAAGGGATCCATCTGATGACACTATCCCAAAAAAAATCAACACATGTTCAACCATTGCTAATGACAGAGGTAGAGAAAATTCTGTCTTCTGCCACAGCTTGCACCCCCATTTTTAGCATTGTGTTGAGTGGGTTCCAGCAGTGAAGACACATGCACTTTCTTTTCCACCAGCTTGCTCATGGAAACAAATTTGTTCCAGCATGCTCTTGTAGTCTGAAAACATCCAGCAGCTGCTTCAGTCGGTCAAAGTCGGATGTCAGCTTTCTTGCTTTGCTGCCTCCCCTTGGGCCTCCCCAGTTTGCTCACTTGGATTTCGTTGTGCATCTCCTTCTCCTTCTGTAACAGACAAGGAAAGGACGAGTGATCCACCCTAAACCAAAGAGAGAGTCCTCCCAGAACCCCGACTGTTCAGCCACCGGTCTCAAAAACAAAGTAAAGAAAAATTAAACCTGAAATCTTGCATTAATTATGAAACCTTTTACTACTAAGATAGCCATACTTTGCATCTCAAGAGAGACCTTGAAAAACAAATTCCTAGCTGCAATCACCACTATCATTTTAAGTACAGACCTAAAGTAGCTATAAGCGTTTAACAAAAATAGTAGGGTATTTTTGACAATTTATTCATAATGATATTATGACAATGTAAGAGAAAAAAGCCTCACTACACTAAGTCTGAAGAGAATTTACTATAGAGACACAACTTCAGTAAAAGCAATAGTTTGTTAGAGTTGTGTTTGTTCTGTGCATCCATTTTCAGTACCATGCCCCATGGCATTCAGCCCAGCTGTCTCACTGCAAACCACAGAACCATCTGAGGAATAGAAAACATCCTACAGGGGCACATGAGCAGACAACTCATAAAGCCTGTCTAAAGAAGGCTAAGTAGTGCACTGAAAATGGTCTATACATGCAAAGCACTGTATTTCACTTAATGGTTAAAAGACCTAGCAGGTTCAGGCAGGTGGAAGCTAAGTGCAAGTGAGACAGAAGTCCCTAAACACTGGACCTATTACTTATAGGTACATAATAAGGAATAAAGTTAAGTAAGGAATAATGTTAAGTTACAAGTTGCCTCCTGTATCTTGCAAGGATTCAGAGTAATTTATCTTGAACTGGCTTGATATAGTAGTTAATAGAAAAAGATTCCATAGATTAAGTTATAAAGGGATTTAACCAGAGGTAGCAGTGCCTCTGAAGTTTAATCTATAGATCTTTAGAATATAATCGGACTTCTCAATACAAGTGTTTATTGTTTCCCTATTTTAGATCACATTGTACCTCTGCACCACAAACACCTTCTCTTTTCTATATAGAAGAAATGGCACATTGCTGGGGGGGGGGGGGGGGGGGTCAAAGAACATTGCAAAAAGCTCAGATGTGACAGCTGTGCTTTCTGCATGCACTGAGTACTGAGGTGGCAAAATGCCTCAAAAGGTATTGGCAATTATCAAATTCAACCTAATGAAAAGTTGTATAATAAGTTGATTAACCTGTTAAATGGTGAGGTTTGTTCTGCTCATTATGGATTGAGTAATAAATAAAAACCTGTTTTGCAATGCACTTTCTCAGCAAACTATTTCTTGGTTTTACCTCTGACAAGGGATTCCATCAGGAATGGATCTACATACAATTATTTCCTATTGGATGGAAATACCTTTTGCCCAGGTTGTCCAAGCACTTTCTACAAAGCCTCCTACATTTTTTCAGATACTGCAAATGTCCAGATGGGTGGAACCCATTTTTTTTTTTTCCATTCCTTTTTTACCTGCTCTGTACTCCATTTATTCTGACTACTAGGAAGCCTTTAATATCCCTCATACTCTCTGGGTGAGTCAAGCTTTCCTGCAAGGTATTTGTGTTCAAAAGAAAAATCATCTTGGACACAAAGCATCTCACTACCTAAATGTTAAACAAAATGCACAACGATTCAGAGAAGGAGCACTAAGGTTCTAATATACCACTTCTTACAAGGTTTTCTCAACTCATTGAAAAAGCTCACTAGTCTAAATCCATTTAATCTATAATACACCACCTTGGTGCTACAGACTGCCTTTCTGCTGGCAGAGCTCCCCTATCAAAGGCCTTAAAATGCATTTGCAGAAATAATTTTGCTTCCGAGTTACAAGAATCCCGAAGTTGCCTAAGTACACTCTTGAACTATTCTTCCTTCAAAATCATGATGGCTATAAGCTCTTAAGAGCTACAATTCTTCCACAGCATTCTGAAACCAACAGGTAGTATTACAGAACCCCAAACCAAGTAATATACTGTAAGACATAACACAGTTGTGTGAGTTGGTAAGCTAGTAAGTAACAGTTACTAGTTCTGCTAATGTGCAGCTTTTAACTCATTTTTCTTCATGTAACATTACTGGCTCTTCAGTGTCGATGTACCAGTGTTCCCGATGCTTACATTTAAAACATTTCTACCACAAACTAAAATTACTTTTAATCATAAATTTCTATGATCAGTCCTTCATTCCAGTTCTGTATGACTTCAACACCTCCACGGTCTTCAGGATTTTGCAGGTGATTTGACTATTACAACTTTTACAAGGAAGTTTCCTTTCCACTTCTGCACTGAATCTGTGTTCTGTGGCATATCTGCAGACACCCAGAAAACCAGCAATTTGTTTTAGAAATTAGACTTGGGGAGACTGGTCCGCTTTCTTCATTGTACTTTCCCCTTACTCCTTTCATTACTTCACAATAATCTGAATATGAAGTTTCTTGGAATTGCATTGGTTACGTTGAAAGAGCTTTGAACAGGAGACCTACCTGCTGATTTCCCTACTAAGATCTTTCTTTCGCCTTCTGCCTTGTGATTTCTGTTGCAGTTTTCTACTTACCAGATGTAAAGAGTGTTGCTTTTACTCAATTTAGAGAAAATGCCTTGCCACCGAGTACCTGGCACCTGTGCTTTGAAGTTTAGTAAATATGTCCATTCCATATATATTAGCAGGTTTTTTGCTTATTATGGACAAAGAACACTGGAACAGTTGTTTTGAAGGGAGAGTATAATACAATAATTACAGTTTATGTAGTAAACTCTTGATTGTCATCAGTTTATCAATGAGAGGATTAACCAGTACTCACTTCAGGTATCAAACAGTGCATGACAGAAAGCATGCGGTCTTTAAACAAGGCCTCACTACCTAGTGCTGTTCAAAGCTGCTCCTGTTCTTTACAGGATATGTATCTGCAGGCTTTTCGAAGTGAATGTACTAAATATGCTTGAGTAGTTAATTTACATATGTTTCATAATAACCTTTTACTTTTTTTTAATCTGCATTATCCTACTCTGCCATTACTCCATGCAGTTGAAAGCAAATGTACTCACACTTTTACAAGAGAAGGTATATAGCTGTAATAAGAGACAAAAGAATTCAAACTTCATGTCTATATTTGTATCATTAGGTAGCACTTAGCATAAATTGTTTGACACGCACCTTGAAAGAAGCAAGACACAACCCCCAGACATGTTTTCCTTTTAATCCTGTCAGGTGTGATGCATATATACATCCTGCAAACACTCGTATATTCTGAACTGGAATCTGGGATGCAAAATATTTTTTAGTCTCTCTTTGGTTTAGAGAGACATGATGGGATAATGCACTACTACAAATGATAATACAACACATTTTCCAATAGTTGTGGTTCAGAGGCTTTTATCCAGCACCTAGATGTACTAATAACATAAAATTTAACTATATTTTCATTGTATCCAATTCAAGCTGCACAACCTCCTGAAGAAGCATGCAGGCATTTTTGTGCATCTACTACCTAAGGTAACTTTATGAGCAACTCTGTACACTTTTCTGCAATAATGACCCCAGCTGCAAAAGAGGTCTCCAAGAAAAACTAACTGAACTCCTGACTTATGTATTAAAAATGAGGATAACAGTTATTTAAGCCATTGTCATCACTACAGAGTTAACGGCATGCACAAAATGCATACCAACATATTACAAGCATAAAGTCACGTTCTTTTTATATCTCGCAAAAGTACACAGTTCTGGCTTACAATCACTCCAACAGCTTAACTTAAAAACAGGGATTGTTTGTGTCTTCTAAATGGACAAGATCAAGGACAATTTTGATAAATGTACATCTGAGACTGAAGAAAATTGAAGCAAGAAGGAAGGTTGGCAATATGCATTTCAAATGCCACCTACTTTCTATTTTTCCAACATTTTACACTTATCCCCACATTAAAATAAATAGACACACCTACACACATACTAATAAAGCTTTTCTTTTTAAATAGGAAAAAAAAATAAAAATTAAAGGCCTGTCCCAGCTAGAATTGCATGCATTTAGAAGTTATAGGCCCCAAACTACTAACTGCAGAAGGAATAACTTAATATGTACATTAGTCTTAAAGCCAAAAACAATACCACCCTCCAAACAGCACTATAGCCACCCCATCCTGCTGATTGTCCAGCAAGGAGACTGCCCCTCAGAACTTCTGTTGTCTCTAAGAATATGTGCACAAACCAGTCAACTGCTTATCAACAGTTTGTTCTTTGCCATTATATTGGTTTGCATGGCAAGGTTTTGGTTGCAGCGGGGCTGCAGGGGTGGCTTCTGTGAGAAGCTGCCAGAGGCTCCCCCGGCATCACACAGGACAAATGCCAGCAACTCCAAGATGGAACTGCCACTGGCCAAGGCTGAGCTCATCAGTGATGGTGGGATAACTAATTTAAGAAGGGGGGTAAAAGTTACTGTGCAAGAGCAGTTGCAGCTGGAGAGAGGAGTGACAACACATGAGAGAAACAGCTCTGCAGACCCCAAGGTCAGTGAAGAAGAAGGAGGGCAGGAGGTGTTCCTGGCAGCGGAGCAGAGATTCCCCTACAGCCCATGGTACATCCCACGGCGAGGCAGGCTGTGCCCCTGCAGCCCATGGCGCAAGTTTGCTGGCAGGAGCTGTGACCCTACAGGGGACCCACACTGGAGCAGTTCATGAAGAACTGCACCCTGTGGGAAGGATTCATGTTGGAGAAGTTCATGAAGGACTGTCTCCTGTGGGACAACTCCATGCTGGAACAGGGGAAAAGTGTGAGAAGCCCTCCTCCCAAGGACAAAGGTGCAACAGAGACAAGGTATGATGAACTGACCACAATCCCTACTCCCCATCAACCTGCACCACTGGGAGGAAAGAGGTAGATAAAATTGGAAGCAAAGCTGAGTCTGGGAAGAAGGAGGGGTGAGGAGAAAGTGTTTTAAGATTTAGTTTTATTTCTTATGACCCTATTCTGATTTGATTTGGAAGTAGATTAAATTTGTTTTCCCCAAGTTGAATGTTTTGCCTGTGATGGTTTTGGCGACTGATCTCTTCTTGTCCTTATCTCAACCCATGAGATTTTAGTGACATTTTGTCTCCCCTGTCCAGCTGAGGGGACTGATAGAGCAGCTTTGGTGGGCACCAGGCATCCAGCCAGGGTTAACTCACCACAGCCACATTAGTTTTTCTTCTACTATTATTAAAGTAAGCATAAGACCTCTTTCCTAAGATCTGAAAAGAGTTTTCAAATATATGTAAGATGCATTCATTAACCCCCACCCACATAACATGAAAATAATTACACAGCCATATAACTATTTTTATATTATTGTCCTTTAAGGCCCTTCAGCATACACTGTTCTTCCTTCCTGTCAGCTGAGGGTGCACAACCAGCTAAAAATTTTGGTAATACCAGAAATGAAATAAGGCTTAGGGTTGCATTAGTACTAATCACCTTAAAAGGACAAAGGATTAGCAGAAAGGAGAAAGAGCCAGTTTACCCAGGAACAAAGATCCAAGTGAAAGAAAGCAATAATGCAGTGCTATTGCTCTGTCCTCTGGCAGCTGAAAACAAAATCAGTCTACACAATAACCTTTCAAGCAGATACATGGCTTCTCCTAAAGGCTTCAAACCAGACAGCTTCCATTGAGGGGTATTATGAAGAGTGGGGTCTTAATAAAAATTTCCTTACTTTCCTCCTTATACTCAATTTCCCATAAAATCTATCCTCATATGGACCCTGCTACTAGGCACTCACTGAAGAATGACTTTTTTGTCAGTCATATGTTGTACTTGCAAATAGTCTCCCTTCCCATTTATGAAATCTGAGCTTCTTATTGCAGGCAACCCCTGCTGATCAGAAAAAAAAAAATATTTTTGTTGCTGAGAGATAAGGCAATAACACGTGCACATAAACCACATTTTGTGTACTACATTTGTAATTTTACTTTCAAATAAATATAAGAAAAGACCAGGATGTACTCACCTGTTTTGTTTATATCAAGCTCTGATAACTTTAAGGCTAGTTCACTAGAGTTCCCACCCGGAGAGGACACAAGTATGTCATGTAATGCATTTCTTCTACCTGTTCTTCCTGAAGCAATAAAGTCTGCATATGTAGATTCCACATCAGTCATTGCTAACAAATATCCACATAGCAGTACCTGGATCAAAAGGAAAAAAAACAACAAACAGAACTTCCACCACCAGAAAAATAAATGACATTATGGAATAGGAATAGAAAACTAAAGGGTTCTAATTGTGGAGTAGATTGGCTAAACAGTAAGCAGCAAAAGAAGATGCCTCAGCCTCAAAATTTGAAGAAATTAGAGAAGAAACAGAGTAGAAAGCAAAAAAGGTGTGTGGATTTTTATGCAACCTGTATTCATCAGTATTTTAAACAACTTCATTTTTCATACTTCATAATGTGCTAGCGAGTACTTTATAAAAGCAATGACCTCAGCAACATAATTTCTTTATAGAGCTGTCTCTGCTTTTAATATTAGCTGAGAAGTAGGAGGTAGGTAGGGGGTGGAACAAAGTTCTTTTCTGCACAAAAAGCAGAACGTAAGGAGTAAGAAAGTACAAATCGATAATGCTTTTGCACACAGAACACTGTGCTCATACACAGGCACAGCTATGTTTTGTGTGTTTTCCTTTCTGTTAGTATGATTAGTTTTGGCATTGTACATAGACCTTTTCAGACTTAACTACATTATTCTGGTGTGGTAGTTGCACCAAAGCGAATGAATGCATTACCATAATGTCACTGACATGAATGGAGACACGCTAACAAAGCAAGCAGAATAGCTAAACTGTAATGCAGAGATTACAAAGCAGTACTCTGTAAGCTACATAAAAACTCAGAACTTATTTTCACTATAAAATAAATATTTCTCATGTTTTTAATGGAATAACATGATGATGTGCGTTAATGTAAGTTTTGCCAAAGATATAAGAAAATTCCCATTTCAGCCTCAGCAAGAGAAGTATTTGCATTCAAAGTTGTATCTGCTATAGATATAACCTGTTCAGACTTTTTTTTCTTTTTCTTAATTTATAGAATTGTAACCAGAGACCAAGGGGTGGGGAGCCACTTTCTCTTGGTGTTCACACTGCTTTTACTCTGGTTGCATTTGTACTCACCTAAGGTTTCCTGCAAAAATCTACACTACTCTGCTTCAAATGTAACTTCCCTCATGTGTTGTGTTTGGATGTAAGTAAAGAGATCAGGGAAACCTTTTCCTAGAGCAGTACTCCAAACAAAAGAACCGCTAGGGAACCACAAAACCAAACCAAACCCCCCCCCCGGTTGCATGCTCCCTTCATGCAATTACTAAGCAGTAATTGTGTGGGTTTGCATACTGCACAGAAAGGACATGGCCATAAGGGCAGCATTGCACAGCTGCATACAGTGAGAGGCTTTAGCTGTTATTACTGAAATTTCACATTTGCATAGAGTGTACAAATCTTTTTAATCAGTTCCTACTGCTGTTGCTGGGCACTGAATAAGCTCCTGAAGTCATCACAAACACTAACAGCAGCAAAAGACACAGCTTTCTTTAAGAAAAAAAACCCCAAATCCTAACTTTTTATAAACTCTTTTTATCTTGAAAACGATGCATAAAAAGACAACAGCCAACTCTTCCCCACCCGTACCTCTCAAATAACTTCACAAATCTTGTCCATTCTTCATCTTCATTCTAGTCCTCCCCTCCCCAACTTCAATTGGCTGTTTGAGGATGCACATAATGATGTATCTGAGAAGCCAAGAAAAGGGTTCTACACGATATTTTATTTAGTCTAAATATAACTATATCAAGTATCATTGCAAGACTGACAGACATAAGTTCATTCCTGTCAAGCTTTGGTGTCCCATGCCAAATACTGAATGGCTGGCAGGATAATTTTACTCCTATGAACAACCACTATGAACCAGGAAATTGTTTTAATAATGTGAAAAACAAACCAACCAAACAACCCCCCTCACACAAACTCCAAGAATCAACTCACAAAACCTACAACAAACACCTAGGGCATGGAAAGAGGTCAGCATTGACTGAAAGCCTGCCTGACACACATAAAATAGCATAGTGCATCTCAATTAACAAATGCTTTCATGAGCATGACAGCATGTACATTTCTTCCCATGAAGTGCCCTCTTCTTGAAACTCTGCAAGAATATTGAAACAAATGAGCAATGAGAAGCCTACCATTTGTTCTTTGCCCAAGGTGCAGACATCACAATGCCAACCATGTAGTAATGAAGCATACAGCTTGCAAAGGTGAAGGGAAAG